TGTAATTAATGTTTAGTGAACAATTTATTACAAGATTTCATGACTCATATTTTAGCTTTCACTAATGGTAGCCTGTAATTTATATTTTACCATAGGAATTTCAGATACATCCTTTATGAAACATGGAAAAATTCTCTATTTAAGTAGGAGTACTGGTATCTACCAGTAGAAGCAAAAATGAAAAAACAGTATCGTGAACTGTGAATTTGAACAACAGCAAACAGAGTGAAGGTGAAAAACCCTAAACAATTAGCAGGATCATCTTAGTTTACTCTTTTTCTGGAAAGAAACCAGTGAAAAATATTTTACTCTGTTAAGGTAAGAAATTAATATGTGGGGTAGAGTGGTACATCAATACAGTTCCATCACTTGTCTCTTTCTGCTGGGCTGTAGTTCTGATTTAACTGCTGAGGATTACCAAGCTCAGTACCTCAGGTAGCCCATGAAATATTGCCTGAGCCTCTAGGCCAAATTAGGTTTTCAAGCTCTGGCAGCATCCACTGTCCTATGGTGTTTGTACCAGCTGACATCTGTCCCAAAACCATATTTTCTGAAAGAATCTGAATTATTTCTACTTTTAGGTTCCTAATCAGTACATATCAGAAGCTACCCCACAGCTGCTACTTCCTTCTGTCTTTGCCTTATTCCCGTAAAAAGCTGTTTGAAGGAAAGAACTTTGAGCTGTCTCTGAAGTAGTGCAAACTGATGTGGTGGTTTGGCTATAGCATGGTCTGAGCCAGACTTGGCAAAAGTCAGCATTAATGAAAAACAGCATTAAGGCAGAATGATTTTATGTGTTTATTTCCACCCCCATCCCCCAAGAGGATATTACCGAACTCGTGTTGAAATCCAAAGACTAGAAGTGTGTTTGTGCCTTCACCACATACTGAGAAACATCCTCATCCACCTTTTCTTGCTCAGCTTCTCACCTGCAGAACCTTAGTGAGGTGGTGCTGGGCTGTGTGATAAACAGTGTTCTGTGGGACACCAAGGTCATGTTGAATGCTGGACTGACAGCCAAAAACCAGCATTAATGATAATTTTGGAGAATAATTATACTGGATTGGTGCCTGATACATACCCATCAGTGCCTGGCATGGCCATTGCAACTGGTACAGCTGTGACACTCACAACTGTATTGGATCACTGCTCTCTTCTTGGTTTTGTCTGACACAATCCTTTTTACTGCTGAGTTATGTTCAGTAATGATTGTGAATTGCTAAGTTTGTGCCAGAAATAGCTGTAGAATGCAAGGAGAGGTTTTAAAGCTACACGAGGATAAAAGCATGGAGAGGTGGGTTAAACAGAGATGCCTGACATACTGACTTGTGATGGAATAATTGTAGTAACTTCTTGGTAAATGCTGTGGTCATACTAAGGAAACATTAACACTAAAGGTAGGATACTATAATAGACTTGCACATTATCTTTTTTCATGTGTATTTTGGTGGGGTGTTTTTTGGTTGTTCGTTTTTGAACGATGGTTTTAATTATTCCCTGAAGTAATACAGAAAAATATGACCTTAAAACTTTCTTTGTGAATTAGTTGGTGAGGCATGTATGAAACTAATCCTCTGGAGAGGTGTGATAACTGGGCATCTGCAGTAGCTGTGTGAGCCTTAATGTGCAGTAACTCTAAGAGTGCTCTGCCTGTGTGTTCAGGTGAATGTTAGTGCTCCCCTTTGCACAGGTGCAGCTCCATGGCAGTTTTCAGTTAGCTGTGATAGAACCACAGAATTGTTTGGATTAGAAGGACTTTAAAGATCACCTTGTTACAACCCTCCTGCCTCGGGCAGGGCCACTTTCCACTGCAACAGGTTGCTCAGAGCCCCATCCAACCTGACCTGGAACACTTACAGTGATGGGGCATCCACAACTTCTCTGGGCAACCTTTCATTGCCTCACCACCCTCACACTGAAGAATTTCTTCATATCTAATCCAAACCCACTCTCAGTTGGAAGTCATTTACTCTTGTCCTGTCACTACGTGCTCTTATAAAAAGTCCCTCTCTGTCTTTCCCATAGGTTTCCTTCAGGTACTGGAGGGTTGCAATTAGGTCATCCCAAAGCCTTCTCTTTTCCAGGCTGAACAAAACCAATTCTCCCAGCCCTTTCCTTTTAGGAGAGGTGTTCCATCCCTCTATTGGTGGCCTACTCTGGACTTGCTCTAACAATCCTGTTATTGCAGGATTTTTTGTTTTGCCCAACAGCATGTAATGCCTCATTTGAAGTCAGTGTAGTCCATCCTAGTAAAGACTTCTTGAGGACTCTTAAACTCAGGGGTTACTCTCATGCACTCTGTGTGCACGAGATACACCTGGATTGAGAGTCCTTGAGGGAGGAATGGAGAAGGAAGTTGCCCAGGATACTCACCACTGGCTACCTGCTTGAGCAGAACCACCTATCTCAAGAAAATCATCATTCCATCTTGCTCTGCAGTAAAAGCAAAAGTATCTTCTTCCCAGACAACTCATGGGGTTAATAATTTTTCTGTTCCTTCTAAATAAGGTTGTATTCGTAAAAGTACTGGTGAGAGCCATATTGAAAGAATCAAAACTAGGAAAACATCATTTGAGGCTGTTTCTTTCTGGCCCATAGAAAGCGTTTAGAGACAGGCAATGGAATCAAGTTTTTGATCAATTTTTGATCAAGTTTTTGATTTCCCTTGTTCGTTCTAAATCAGCACACCCCTCAGGAATAGCTGTTGGTGCTCTGTTCCGTTTGGAAGGAGGGGCTTTGCTGTGCTCTATGATCTATCTTGTGTGTGTTTTTCTTCCCCCCTCTTAAGTGCACGGTGAAGGGAATTCCTTCCTGGGTAGCTGAAGGTACACCCAGCCATCACAGGAATGTGTGGTATGAGCCCCCTCAGAACACCTCCTGAGCCTTTCTCCTTGCTGATGGGCATGATCTCTACTGCTCACATCTCAACCCCGTCTTGTGCACAAATGGCTTAAACAGGGTAGAGTGAGGTAAACATGAGTTCTGTGAAAAACATCAGTACTGAGGAGGAAGAATTAACCCTACTGTGACCTGAGGAGCAGTTTTGAATAAGGCTCTATAAGATAAAAGATTTAACTTTTTAAGGGTGAAAGCCCTTTTGAAAGGTTTGAACGTGGCTTGTAATTCTGTGTTGAATGTAGTACTAGGAGTTTTGAAAGCTTGCAACAAACCTTGGTGTACAAGAAGACTAATAGTTTGGATTTGCATTTTGGATTTTGTGCTGCTCATTTGATTGCCCTCTGCTAACCATTTATCAAAATTCAGTTGTATCTGTTCTCTTCTTTGACTTGAGTCTCTCTCATGTCTCAGGAAAGCCTCAGCTCTCCCTTTCTTCCTGATACTGTTTGTAAGAACTTTTTAACACAGCTAGTGGGATTTTGTTGGCTTTTTGAGAATAAACAATGAATTAAATTGGTAAACTTGTGTGCAGAGTTTATAAATACAAATGTCTCTAGTCAATATATTAAGCTAGCTTTTTAGTCCCATGTACTGTCAGGTGTTCATCTTTAATGGTGATTTCAGTCTTTTTCAGTGTTGTTTGTAGTGTCATGGACTAGAGATTCTCTTCATCTGAAAATTCTCCTTCTAGATTTTAAATGTCTTTTATTCTCCCTTCTGTTGACAAGAAAAAAAAATATATCTTTTGTTGCTAAATGTACCATAAGTTAATCTGTGCTTAGGTATAGGTTGGTTTTTTTTTTTCATATAACAGTATTATGGATTATGGATTCCTTTGCTATCCTGGTTACAGACCTGGGAAGCCACTGAAAAAGCCCATTTGTGCAGCAGTGGTGTAACACTTACTGCTGTGGCAAGCCTTGGTTTAATGACCTCAGTGTTAGTAAAAGTCCAAGGGTGGATTTACTGTAGAATGGATCCTTATGCCTTTCCTCATAGCTTTTGGAGTAAATGAGGCATTGACAATGTTTGGAAGTTTGTAGTACCTAGAATATAATTAAGACACTGATGTTAAATGGCTTTTCTAGGACTTGGCAAAACTGCTGATCAGAAAATTGAAACAAATGTTTCACTAACCTGCAGAAGCTGACCTACCTTGTCTTTAAGAAGTGCAGACCAGTTGTACTAATGTGGCAGCTCCACTCAAAGGACTTTTTTCAGGATCCATGCTAGAAAAGATTACTTCATGTTTGAGACCCAATGAAGAAGAAGCATGAACTGCTGTGACGTGTTTCTTGTAGAAATGCCAGTTGTCAGACTGATGTAGTCTAATGTGCAGTGGTGGACTGTGTCTGTACAACTAATGCTGAAGTGTTCCAGGCCAGGTTGGATGGGGTTCTGAGCATCCTGGTCTAAAGAAAAGTGTTCCTGTCCACGGCAGAGGTGTTGGAACTAAATGATTTTTCAGGTCCCTTCCAACCCAGGCCATTCTATGATTCTCTGCCTATGTGTGTGTGTATGCCTGTGATCCACTGAAAATTTCTAAAGTGAGCTGACATTCCAGATATCTGTATAGGGATTTTCTTTTTTTTCCTTCTGTTTCCATATCTGAACTGTTTGTGGAAAAGGGGTACAAAGCATACATAAAAAACTATAAAGAACTGTTAACCAATGGGCGGTAAGATGCATTGGTTTTGGATGTCCTTCTATTGAATCTGGCAGATGAAAGGATGGGAGAGCAGCAACCATGATTCTGAAAGCACACAACGATCTAGAAATAAATGTAAATAGAAAGATTATTGAAACAAGAAAGATTACTGTAACAAGAAAAAGATTGTCATGCATTATGTGTGAGAGATCCTCCTTTAAGCCTGGTACGGATTTGAGAATGCCTTAGAGCTGTGTATCTGTAGTCCAGTTTGGGTTTTTAGGTTTAAAATATCTGTAGACTCTGATAGCAGACAAAACAATATCAGGTGTGCACAGGTTTTCATATTTTATTGTTATTTTTTGAGGGGGGGGGAACTTTATGACCTTAAAAGAGCAACTTGTGTTAAAATAAATTGTTCTCTCCTTCCTCTCTCCTTTTTGTTTTTCTCCAGGATCCCGTCTCCGCCAGGAGGACTTTCCGCCCCGGATCGTCGAGCACCCTTCAGACGTGATAGTGTCGAAAGGAGAGCCGACAACTCTGAACTGCAAAGCTGAGGGACGGCCGACCCCCACCATCGAGTGGTACAAGGATGGGGAGCGGGTGGAGACGGACAAGGACGACCCTCGCTCCCACCGCATGCTGCTGCCCAGCGGCTCTTTGTTCTTCCTGCGCATTGTGCACGGGCGCAGGAGCAAACCCGACGAGGGAAGTTACGTCTGCGTAGCGAGGAACTACCTGGGAGAAGCCGTGAGTCGCAACGCGTCCCTGGAAGTGGCATGTGAGTAGTTTTGTCCCATTAGCATTGTGTAAGAGTTCAGAGTTGCTGTTGTTCTGTCGCCCAGCATCCTGGGAGGTAAGAAATGTGGATAAATGTGACCTTCTGTGAGTAGCTGCAGCTCTTAGTCAAGGCGTTTTTGCGTGTGTTTATTCGGTAGCAGTGACTGCACAGAAGAAGTGATTTATACTGAAATGAGGTTCTAGCCGGTGTATAAACATGATTGGCACAAGCGTGGACAAAGGATAATTTTCCTCTGAAGAATAATCTAATTTTGAAATTATGCCTAAAGCTGGTTATACTGGAACTAATGTGGAAAAATACCTATCATTTAATCTAAGGTGCACTGTCTGTTTCTCTTTATCTCATCATCTGTTACCTCAGCAGAAGCAGACAGCTTCTTGGTGACTCATGTTCTGTACTGCTGGAAACCTCAATATATGCTCCTCTATCATGAACTTGATCCAGGCCTCATTCATTATGTCCATGGCAAGTGAAATTGTTGGCCATTTCTCATATCATCCAGAGCAGCCCTAGTCTTTATCGATTCCCTTTGTCTCAACAGAGAAGTCGACATGGCTCTTTCAGAGACCACCTGGCCTGCATGCTCTGCTTCCAGTAGAGTTAGCAGACATGTTCATTATCATTCACATAGAAAACAAGCTCATCACACATAAAATACAATGAGTTGCACATGTTTTTTTGCTGCTTAGTTATATATACGTTGAATAAACACTGATCTTTTTTATTCAGAACGTGTATCTTCACGAAGAGGTGTGTTTTAGTAGATTTATGAATGCTCTCCTCTTGCTGGACTTACTTTTTTTCCTCCCACAGCTCTTCATCTGGCAGTGGTTTCACTGAGATATGTTTGAAGTAGGGCTTTAGCACAAACTTGTTTTGCTTAGTTGATAAAGAATGGATTTAAGTACACACTAGACAGTATGTTTTTTTAAAGGGGGGAAGTACAGAAGAGAAATCTTTATTCCTCATGCCATCTGCAGACTTTTATAGCTAATGTGGTTTGATCTTGAGGCTTCAGTTTCTCAGAAATTGCAGAAAATGCCATATTTTAAATATTTAAATAGTGGAATAAGACAAGTAGAACAGACTTTTACACTACTTTTCACCTGTTGTAGCCTAGATTCAGAACTGTGTCAAAAAACGAAAACAGTTTTGGCACACCATCAAAGCACAAGTAAATGTACCAATTAAAGGCATCACAGAAAGTTATTCAGTTTTGTAGGTATTTAGGAACTGAGGAGAAGATCAGTTTAAGGAAGGCTGAAATCTGGGTGAGTATGACTAGATAAAATTACTGGATTATTTGTGACTTTGTGCATGAGTTTTAACTGTCTGTTGAGAAATCCTAGGAGAGAGGCATAAACACTTGAAATCTTTATTGTAATCCTGTTGAGATTCAGAAATCTCCAGCCGAAGTTCAGAGGATTGTTCCAGTTGTACTTTGAGTCATCAAATTAAAGCGCCCGATTATTCTGAAATTTAAATGTGCTCTGTATCCTGTCAGCTTTCACTGATCCCTATTTCACTGCCTGCTGAGAGGCTCTTGTTACAACATCCGTGCTCTCTGGAGTTTGTCTAACAACTGTAGCTGGTGGCAGGTCATGCATGAGCAGTGTGGGAGATAGGAGAAAACTTTAAATATAATAAAGCTGTGCTTCACTTTAGGGCAGGATCAACATGAACGTGAAACCTGAGATGTGAAACTGTAACTGAGGTTTTTGCAGTAGCAACATTATTATTTTACTGTTTTCATAGGTTTGAGATTTAACTGACTGAATCCCCCAATTAAATGCTTTAGCTGGCTAAAGTAGGCTCTCCTTTTTCACTTCAACAGTGCTTTATCTTTCCTTGGGCCATACTGTAGCTGTGGTTACAGGAAGGTCTTCATCAAAGGAGAAAAATGTAAATAATATATACATTGCTTGTTCACTTAATTTTAGAGATTCTGCTGTGGTTTTTGCTCACTGGCTTTAAAGCATGTCACAGTATTGAAGGTGTCCTTTGGAGGATGATAGCAAAACTACCTCTTTTCCCTTGGTTTTGAGATGCTCTGTAATACAATTTTGGTTCTAAATCAGATTTTCAACTGACTTTCAGGGAAGAGTTATTTTAAGGCTCTTATTTGTTTTTCTCATGTCAGCATTTCTGGGCTGCAAAGGATGGGCAAGTCTGCAGCCACCCATTTGTACGCTCAGGGAATGAGGTGCTGCTGACAGGCTGTTGTCAGCAGAGAGTCCCCAGTCACCTGTTCTCAGCTGCTGCTGGAAACTGTTGAGTTGCCTGGATCCTGCAGTCTGGTCCATGGGAGGATGGCTGCCTGGGATGGCTCTGACTTGTGCTGTCTGTCATGGTGTTGAAAACTGTGCTTTCCACACTAGGCCAAGCTGTTTTCATCACCGGGGGGAAAAAAAAGACGGTTGTCTTTTGCTGACAACAGGGTTCTGGATTATTATCTGACTGTAGGTGGCCTGAAATTGTGCCATGAGAGACAAACTGCTGCTTTTTACAGGTTTAAAATACTTGAGTCTGCTGTTTTAGAGAGAGAATCTGTAATTGTTTTACTTTGTTTAATAAATTGTCAGTTGCCAATAACAACTTTTGAATGATTTATGAAGAAATATTTATTGGGTTTATGTATCTGTTAGATGTGTTCATGCCTAGGCATTAAGATGACAAACAGTGTTATTGTGCTTAATATCCTTCTATTTCCTTTTTTTTCTTTTTTTTACCCCCTGCATGACACCTGCCACAAAAGCAGTGGGACTAAAAGTCTTCTGACATATCCATACTTCTGTGTAATACAGAAGTGACATTCAGCTGGGACACACAGTGATTCAGAGCAGAGTGTGACCCGTGTTGAATGCAATAATTTTACCCATTGGTTTTTTTGGAGTGAGTTTTTGCAAGTTGCTGAAATCCCTAAGCTCTTTTTGATTGAGTAGCAGTTAACACCTTTCCAAACCTGATGAATTTAGGTACCAGCCTATCCAAGGCATGGCATAGGCTTTTAAATCCCTGTCTGCTCACAGCATGTTCATATAGTCCAGGGCAGATGCTTTTGTGCTGATGTGTATCCTCAGAAGAATTTGTCTGTGCCAATGAAACTGAAAAGAATTGCGATCTCGAAAGTTACTTAAAAAGCTTCATCAATATACAGAATGTACTTTTAGAATTTTTTTGCCTTCAATTTGGGAAGTCCTTATTCCAGGAGACATTTAAGAAGAAATAGTTGGTATTTAGAAGAAAAAGTTGGTATTTGAAGGCACAATTTAGGATTGATATGTAATTCTCTGATATGACTTACTCTATTTAATTCTTTCAATGCATTAATTCATGGTGTGCTTTGAGTAGATTACTTTTTGAGTAGGAGCCTCCTCAAAAGGGAAAAAAATAATGCTACTGCCAGCAGCAAACCCAGTCTTCTGATGTGCATGTGGCAATTTCTCATGTAGCGTTTCTGTTTTACGGTTAAATCGTTAAAAATAAATGTTTTAGTCCTAAAGCATCTATGAATAATTGTATTCAGAAGAGTAAAACATCTTTCTTTTGCCAGCGCTGGGGCACCAGGAGTGGGCGAGAGGAGGAGCAGGAGGGTCCCGGGCTGAGTCAGAGCCGGCTCTGCTCCGGGCTGAGTCAGCGGCGGCCCCCGGGGAGAGCAGCTGGAGCCCCAGGTGTGAAATATGTGACAGCAACTTGATCTATCGACCACTGTTAGAGGGGGCTCTGGCCTAAATGAAAATTCATGAAAAATTGATGAAGTCCCCAGATTATTTTTTTTTTCCCTTTTCCTTTTGCAGTGCCGGGCCAGCGCAGCGAGGAGAGATTAAATGAGGTGTTGAACGCTTTAGTGGCAAGGAGGTTGTGGTTCAGAGGTCAGTGGGGGAGGGGGAGAAGACACATTTTCTACCTTACTTCCCTTTAAAAGAAAACATAAGGCTTTTCAGATTAGCTGGGATTTGCTGCCATTTCAATATACTAATAAAACTCAGGAATATTCACAAATAGGATTCTTTTCTGCATGGGTTGGCAGAGGCGAGGAGTATGTGGGTTGGTGTGCAGAAAGCAGTGGAAGGCTCTGAGTCATAATTCAATTGGAGAACCAGAAATAGATTGAATTTTGTAATGGCAGTATAAATTTGGGCTTCCATCTTTCTGAGCCTGTGCTTGAACTGAAGTCATTTGGAGAAAGAAGAGGTCTTGCATTATTTATATGCCAAAGATTGCTTGAATAGCAGGCTTTGGAACACTCTCCAAACATAATGATCCTGCTTATGTTAGATTCAAAACTGAATTATGTTTTTATCTGTAACAAGAGAGGTTATAGTAGTACACAGAGTTTAGTGTGAAGAGTCATAGGTGTATTGCAAAGCAAGCATAAGCCAGATCTTAAACATGGGAGGCAGTAATTTTGCAAATAAACAAGATATGTTTTAATGTTCAGTGAATGAAGGCTGAGAGGTATAAAATATATGCTGTGCAATCACATCTGTATCATAATGCTAATGACTGTTTGCTGCAGCATGTGCAAAAGGCTGCAGTATGTTCATAAGAATGGAGTTATTAATTTAATTTGAGATATCCAGTGAAAAAAGAGCACAGTGTATGTGACTAAAATGGGTGGACGATTTCTTTGTCTAGTTTCTGTTCGATGTATGACTTAAATAGCGAAATTGTTATTAATTTTGTTACTGGTAATTTCAAAGTCTGATTTGCCCTGGAATTACTTTCACACATGAAAAACATGTCCTATTCCTGTCCTTACACCTCTCTCTCTCTCATCCTTCTAAACAGAGTGTGAAGGCCTCTCTGTCTGAGCTGGCACTCCTTCCCTCTCATCAAGACAAACGTGATTATTGTAGAAATTGGAATGCTGCAGACTGTGGTCTGGTCTATGAGCAATATCAGGACATTGAAAAGATCATGCTTTTTCTTACTCTGCATTTCTCTAAGTAGAAATTTAACAAACCATGGTTATTATC